AAAAAAAAAAAAAAAAAAGGAAGAAAGAAGACAAAACAAATTAGTGTAAAGTTCTAAATACACAAGAACATATAATTATATATTAACTATGCACATATTAGTGTATTTGCAAAATGGCTGTTAAAAAATAACAACTCAGTCTGAATACTGCTGAGGAGAAATGATAAACCATTCAGCCTCCTCAGGCACTGAGGCTGACTGGAGGCTGCAGTACAGTTCAGCAACATTCACATGAGGAAAGACAGTATGAAACAGTGTCACTGTTCCTCCACACCATGCAGAGTCAGGTTTGTCCCCAACACTGGTTGCCACATCCCTACCCGCGATACAGGCTGCATGGAGGATGGATGAGGGACTGCTGTGGCTGGCTCAGTCGCAGCCCAGCTCTGGCAGGGATGTGCACAGGTGCTCCTGCCCTGTCCGCATCGTCCCCAGGGCTGCAGGCCCAGGCCCCATCAGCACACTCAGCAGCTCTATCAACATACCTTTGCCCGCATCAGCTCCATGCAGTGCCTGCAACTCTCCCCAATGTACTACAGAGCTTAAAGGCATATGGGCAACCAGCCCCCATAGTCTAAAATTTGTGCACAGAACAGGAGACAGGGTGGGGAACAGCAGGCTTCCTTGGACACCTCAGACATAGGCCTTGGCCCTGCACAGTGGGGAACTGAACCCAAGATCCCCTATTAAAAAGAACTTGGAAGGAGCTACATCTATGGAAGGGCAGGCTATAGAAAACACACCCTGAAGCGAAGCAAACCTTCCAGAAATTAAAGAACAGCAAATTTTCTTCTGAGATCACGTGGCTGCAGACCCACCTTCTTTGGAAGTGGATCTCCGACTCTCACTAGGGCTTCCTGTGCAGCGGGGAGGGACCCACACCAAGAGCCCACACCCTAGCCAGCAGCAAGCACACAAGTCCTTCCTGGGGGTGCAAGCCACTCAGACCCTGGTTTGCTACATGGAGTTCATGTACAAAGAAAAATTACAAAAATGTCAAGGAAAGTAACCACATGTGAAGCTCAGCAGGAATAAATCAGACATAGACCATCCTCTCAAGGGTTCAGGGTCATGAGGAACACAGAGACAGTACTGTTAAGTTCGTATGTGTAGTTCTTCATAGAACACTTCAATCAAAATTTTAAAAATATCATATATAACACCTGGAGAAGTAAAAGATGAAGTCACAAAAAATAAACAAGCAATAAGAGACTACCAAAAACAACCCAATAAGGCTTGAAACTTGAAAGTGAAAGAGAGATTAAGTTGTAAATTAAAATTAAAGAATCAGTAGAACATAGTGGCGCACACCTGTAATCCCAGCACTGGGGAGGCTAAGGCAGGTGGATCATGGTAAGTTTGAGTGCAGTCTGGGCTACAAAGTGAGTTCAAGGCCAGCCTTGACTGTATAATGACACCCTATCTCAAAAACAAAAACAAAGTAACAAAAAAGAAACCCCACAAAGCAATGCACAGAGAAAAGCTGGGCGGAGGTAGGGAGGATAGGATGCCAGGGCCCACCATCAAGTTGCAGCCAAAGCGGAAGCAAGCGCATCCAAGTAGCACCCAGAGAAACAGTCAACATCACCTGTCTGCAGGGATACTTACAAATAATTGACCTGACAGTCACTGGGTTAAATGGGGTCCATGTGCCTGAAAACAAATGACACACAGCAGCAATTAAACAGAAGATCATTCCACAGAATCCTGTAAGTGCCGACCCATAAGGCAAGCCTGCAAGAGTCATCGTAACCAAGATACATCATGCAAAGGTACAAGATCCCAATGATGAATGTAACTGTATTGTAGACCTAAAACGTACCAATAAACTAAATGGGGGAAAAAAAAAAGAGTCATCGGCTGCTCCAGAGCAGAGGTTCTCACAGGGCCTCAGCCCAGGCATCGAGGACCTTCTGGCTGCCATGACTCCAGAGGACCCCATGCACAGCATCATCCACTGCACCCTGCAGGAGCTCTCCATGTTCTGCTGTCACCACCCAAGACTAGATGTCAGCTCTCTCTGGAGCTCCAGCTGGGCAAGTTTCTGGGTACAGCAGACATGACAGGCTGTATTGAGGGGTCCGGCAAGCCACTCTCAGGCTGGACAACTCTCTAAGACAAGACTCAGGGCCACAGTTTTACACAGAAGAGACACGTGGCCAAGAGATGAGCGGGTGGAAAAGCAGGCACAAGCTTCCAGAGACTGGGGAGGCCACGCTTTCATCTTCCACAGCGCTATGTGGGCCACCTTCAGGGCAGCTGCCCTGAGTCTGAGAGTCCAGGGTCTTCCAGAGTGTCACCAAGCCCCAATGCCCAGAGGGAAGCAGGTGCCCGCCACAAACTACATCCTTGGTATAGACCATCCAGGCACAATGGCACAACTTGGCTCAAGGCCTTTTGTCTCAGAACATTTTAGAATTCGGTCCCCAGGGCTCGACAAGAGCTAGGCATCAGTAGGCTTTTCCTGGAGACGAGAGGGCTTGGACAACCCAGCCTGAGAAGCTAACCCGGGGACCAAAGCTATATGTAGGACCCCAAACTTTCTGATTCATCACAGGGCTATAAATATTGTCACCCATAATGGGCCCATGTGCAAGGACAGTTATTTGACTGGATGATTTTTCTACACAGAATTCCGGTTTATATGATCTGATTTCTCTCAGTTCCCTTTTTTTATTGCACGCGGGGCAGGGGGGGGTGTTTGTTTTGAGAGAGGGTCTTGCCATGTAGCCCAGGGTGGCCTTGAATTCATTTTGTAGCCCAGGCTGGCCTTAAAACTCACAGCAGTCCTACCTTAGCTTCCCGAGTGCTGGGATTACAGGTGTGCACCACCGTGCCCAGGATCTCTCAGTTCTTTTATCAGATAGTTTTGTTTTTGTTTTTTTTTTGGGGATCAACTCTCGTCCTTGCACTTTAGATAGTTTTAATTAGAACTCTATCTGATAAAACTACCTTCAAAAGAAAATAAGATTAAAATAAAAAAGAAGTACAGCTAAAAAAAATGCCTCTTTGAATTATACGAATGTTAAGGCAAACCTACTTTGAATGCACAAAAAAGAGGCTTGAGAAAAATTAATTTTCCTAATCCCAAGAAATAGTGTAGAACTACAAAAAAAGGGGGAGGGGACTAAGTTCAAGACGGTGACAAATTATTTCAAAAAGAGGACCAGAGGGCCGGGGATTGAGCTCAGTGGTTCTGCCACCTGCCTCGAAAGCGGAAGGACCCGAGTTCGATCCCTGGTACCAAAAAAAAAACACCAAAAAAAAAAAAAAAACCTCAAAAAAAGGACCAGAGAACTGGGCATGGTGGTGCAAGCCTGTAACCCCAGCACTTGGCAGGATGAGGCAGAAGGTTTGCCACAAGTTCAAGGACAGCCTGAGCAACACAGTAAGAGCCTGAGTCAAAAATAAATAAATAAGTAGGGCTGGGGATTTAGCTCAGTGGTTTTGCCGCCTCTGCGCAAGCGCAAGTACCCAAGTTCAATCCCCGGTACCAATCAATCAATCGGGTGAGAGAGCACCCAGTCATGTGGTCCTCCTCTCTACTGATCACAGCAGCTCTCCTGTGGACACAACTGGAAAAGGATCCCACAGGACTCACAGACCCTCTCAGTATGGTGTCAACCAGGTGGCAACAGAGCTCCCAGAAGCTCAGACCAAGCTGAAGTAAAAATCTATGCAATTCTGTGACTTCACTTTCCTACCAGTAATATGTTAATTAGATTTCCTGAAACGGCTTAATGACTTAGTTCCAATATCAAAACAGAAGACCAATCCTGGGAGAATAACTAGAAGTCAAAATGGTTTCAACCACAGGCACTGAGAACAGACATTGGCCCACCCAGTGACAAGCATCCTGTGCCTATGAACATTCATCATGAAGCTTACAATCTAGGAGCCAGAGAGAGCTGTGGTTTGAAAGCTGTCCCCTCCAAAACTCGAGGTGACATGAGTGCCACTGGTAGGCATGAGGAGTGCACCCCTAAGAAAGGGATGGTGCCTTTCTCTTTGGACTGCGTGAGTCATGGCAGGAGGGGCTCCTTCCTCTCTCGGTCTCGCCCTTCCACCTTCCACCGTGGCTGGCAAAAGCCTTACCACGCTCTTGGGTTCCCAACCTCCAGAGCCCAGAGCTAAGTGCATTGCTCCTTATAAATCATCTGGTCTGGAGAATTGTTACAGCAGCAGGAAAAGACAGAAAGCATCAGAGAAAAGGAAAAGTAGTGCAAAACCACTGTCCACTGAGGCAAGGCAGGGGGAACACAAGGCTCCTGGCAGCCAAAGGGTCAGTGAGGCAGTTGGTGGACACCAGCAGGTAAATACAGCGAAGGCCCAAATGCGAGGAAAAGAAGCTACACAGCACATGGTGTGACGTGCACCAATAACACACCTCTGGGTTCAGACCTGGGCTCCACAATGACAGCCCCACAGGTGAGGAGGAGGCTAGGAGATGCAACACCTGCATCACAGGCGAGGGGGCAAAGCTCGTGGTGCATCACCTGCCGATAATCTGCCTTACTCCAGAAAGAACATAAAGAAACTTTAAAAATATATATGTGAGAGGCCAGGGATTTAGCTCAGTGGTTCCGCCGCCTGCCTTGCAAGCACAAGGACCCGAGTTTGATCCCCAGAACAAAAAAAAAAAAAAAAAAAAATATATATATATATATATCTCCATGGTACACAAAATAAATAAAATTTAATTACGTTACGTTGGCTACAGGCAAAAAGTAGGAGGGTAAGAAGGAAGGAAAGAAATAAATCCAAGGCAAGCCAGAAAATTTCTCTCTTTAAGAATCCTAAACTCTTGCTACCAGCAAACCACAAATTTGCTATTAAATTTTTTAGCAGTTAATTTGAGGAAAATGCACTCAGAAGATATGGAGTTTGCAAGACACAAAGAGAGCAGCACCACAGGTGTGGGGGACACAAAGCGTGCCGTGCCTCCAGGGAGAAGCTAGATGCCACCCTTGGCATTAACAGTGACCACGTGGGGCCAGCTCTCTCACCCTCAACACGAGCAGAGGGTTGCCTCCCCCACCAGGGGATGAAGATCATGTGGCAACTGTTAAAATTCTCTTTTAAGCAGCTCCTGGTAGTGGCAGCTGAGATCAAGGTTACGTTTTGACAGGTACTTATTAAGGGCTGACACCTGCTGGTGAAAATACAGGAGGCCTAACTCCACAGATTAGAATAGGTGTTGCAGCAGGCTGTGGTGGCACATGACTAATCCCAGCACTCAGGAGGGAGAGGCAGGAGGATCACTGCAGTTTGAGACCAGGCTGGGATACATAATGAGTTCAAGGCCAGTCTGAACTATACAGTGAGACCCTGACTCAACGCCCCCCCCCCAAAACCAGGTGTTGTTTCCCCCTCCCTCCCACTCCTGGTGGGATAAGGTCTATTAAAGGGCTCAGTATCACGCTCACGTTTTAAGTGGACTCCACCAACTTCACTACCACCAGGTGTGGGAAACCATCCAAGACCTGAGCTGGTTCCACGGCCAACAACAGCAGGAGTAATACTACTCATCATCGTAGCTAACCTCCCAAGCACTTGCTGTGCCCTGCATCCTGGGAAGTGCGTTGCCTGCATTTCAATTTACTTTGGGTGGCTACGCAGACATTAAGACCCAGCAGGTCAAGTGTTGCCCCAAGATCACACTGCTCAAACAGGGAGACCCAGGACACAAATTCAGAAGCCCCAGATCCCCAGTGCAGTCCTCCAGGGTGGATAAGCTGTCATGCAAATAAGGCTCAGTATTTGACCACCACCACCAAAGTTTTTCACACAAAACCTAAACTTGGGCAGTACTCTCAAACATCCAAGCAAATCGACAAAAAGGAGGTTGTTTACAAGCTCCTAAACTTTTAACCACTCATGGGGAACTACTGGAAACAAGTATCTCTGAAGCCTAACTCAGGAGTGCTCTGCGCCGCCTTATTCCCACACATTTAAAGCATGTCCTGAAGACATCATTCATTCTGGTCACTTGGGAAATTTCAGGCCAAGATTTGCCAAATTGTGGCCTGCTGCTGCAGGTGCTCTTGAAGTCTTTTTAGTAACCTTCCCTTGTCCTTCCCCTGGATGTAACAAGCACTGGAGATAAAAAGGTAAATAGTAACCAAAGAGGAGAGAAATCAAGAAGGCACCATAGAGGGAATGGAGTCTCTTAATTGCCTGCAAACAATCTAAATAAACAGGTGAAATCGCACCCCAGTACTTGTGACTTACACAGGTTAATACTGGGAAATGATGTCAGTAGCATCTACTGTCCTATAAAGCAAATGCGTTATTCTGAAAACACAGACTTTCAGCTTAACACACATCACCAGAAATGGGTCCTGAATGCCTAGCATGTGCCAACAATGAGGGGCTCTCCTTTAAGCCTGGCCCCAACACTGTGAGGCCATGTTCAACAGCCCAGTGTTGCCTGCTCCCTTAACCAGTCACCTATAACATGACAGTGCTTCCCACTAATAGATGAGCCTTTCAACATTTTCATCCGATCTTAAAACTGGACCATTTTCCAGCTTCAATGGCACACCTTTGGAAAAACAACCTATGAATATAATAAGAAAAGACGGCTGCATTTGAGGGATTATAAAGGGTATTTAAAAGAAAAATGTCTCTAAAAGTATCACCAAAGATTAATCATGATGAAACCATCAAGAACCTGAGTCCATGGAGAGCACCCAGCGCACTCCCACACAAGGCCTGCACTCCTGCAGGCCTACTCTTTCCCACACTGACAAGAACACCTCCCGGAGATCTGGCTGGGATAGCCTCGGATATCCCAGATTCTCAATTTGGCCCTAGAGTTTCAGCAGTTCCCAAACGACCACATTTCCACTCAAGCACTGCAGAGGCTGTCTCTAACCCCTTCAACAATTACCTCCGTGTTCCCTGACAACTCTTCAGTGCCTTCAACAATCATCTCCAGAGGAGTTGTTAAGATTCAGTTACCAAAAAATTCAAGGACCTTCAAGACACCTAAAGAATTTCTGCTGCACAGAGCTAAACTTCCTAACCCTTCCCTAAAACCTACACCTAGCTCCCATTTCTCAGGCAGCACTTCCCAATCCTCACACACATCTGTTGTTTTGGAGTTCAGTGGGGCAGCATTAGTGACAATAATCAAGAAGCTACCAACAAACGCCTCCATCTCCTTCATGTATCAGTAATAGTAAGTTAGTCATAATCCTCAGTACTTGGAAATAAATTCCAGAAAAGAAATTGCTTCCATGAGTAATTAGGCTTTAACTCACCATTGGACAATGCTTGCTGAAGCTCGTTGTCTGATATCACCCCACTCCTGTCTTTATCAACACTACAAAAGCAAGAAGACCAGATAAGCTGGTGACGAAAACTGTAGGAAAAGCAAAATATGGCAAAAAACCAAACGCTTACTTCTTCTGTCAACCCTACAATAGTCTGTAACGTTTCTCTGGCAGGTCTTTACTATGCTAACGAAGACCCCTAAGGGACGGAATCATCTTTGCTATTCCTTATCTCAAACCTTCCGTTGGTTACTCCCTTGGCTTTCAGCAATTCAAACCTACTCCAGGTTCTAGTATTACAAACAGGAACAGATTTTCTGGGATAATCAAGTCATTTTATGTCCATTCCGTCTGTAGGATGACTTGGGGCTGAAGACTGCCAAAGCGGTCACCTGCCTCGAGGTTCTTCCTACCCTTGTGATCTGCTGCCTTTTTCACAGCGCGGAATCTGGCCTGTTCCTGTCCTGAAACGAGTACTCGTGACCCTTGGGGTCAGCTGGAACCCGCCCCTCAACCCTGAGCGTCTGGACACAGCGGCCGCGACTCGGGAGGGGTCGGGGCGCGTGATGCGGAGGGCTGCGGAGGGCAAAGGAGGGGGGCTAGAAGACAAGGGGCGGAGCCGGGACCTGGGAGGACACGGGAGAAGGAGGCCTGGGGTGTCAGAAGAGGGAGCCTGGGCACACGGGGGCGGGGATTGGGACTGGGAGGACGCTGGAGGACAGCTCGAGGGAGGGCGAAGGGGCCTACGGGCTAGGGTCCCAGGGGCGCCGGCCTCACCGCTGGAAGACGTTCCACAGGAAGCTCTGGTCCGGCAGCGCAGCGCCCGCAGCAGGGCCGGGGCCGGGGCCCGGGCGGTATGAGTAGGCGGCCATCGGCAGAAAACCGGCGACGAGGCCAATTGGGGTGGGGCTGCTCCGCTTCCGCCTTTGCAGAGGCCAGGCATCCACGCCCTTTCCGGGAACACCGGAAGTGCATGCATGTCCTCAGGTCACTGGCCGGCGCGGCCAATCCGCTCCCCGCTCGGTTGCTGGGCAACGCCGGGGCGTCCGCTTTGGAGGTGGCGACGTCTCCAAGAGGCCTGATGCTCTGCCACCCAATCTGTCCTGCCCGGGCTTGTCCGCTGCGGTTTCCTGTTCCCTCCCTGCCCCAGCCTGTCCTTTCCTGGTGCCTTGTTCTGCCCTGGAACAGAACCGTGGAAGCGCCATGAGGAGAGAGGCGGTGCGGGGTGGATTGGCCTTCCAGAAGAAGCCCGTGCCGGAATGGGCAGCGTTTGAACTGGACTGAAGATATCCTGGTCCGTGTGAAAAGAAGTGTTGACGCGATTATGGTGGACACCAACAGCCCAAAGTACAGGGAGGGGAAGGAGCGAGGCATTTCTTGTACTCCAGTTTTTTCAGTTCGTTTCCACACGATGAGCCATTATCTTTCTAAATGTGGGTGGGCCATCACTTTTTCCTATAAAGCAAGTCCAAACTTTCTATAGATTAAAATTCCACAGATTTCCACTACCAAAACACAGCAGTAGCCCCTGCTCCAGACGGTAGCACTCCTCTCTCCAGAGCCTGCATTCTATTTGAGTGTGTACTTTTAAAATTCTGCTTGATATCTTTGTGCTTCTTACTGACTTTTCCTGAAAATTCCTTTTCTGTGCTGAAAGTCAGCAAACCTGCAACCTGTCCCATGGGTGCAGTGAGTCAAGATTCCCCGAATGTGCTTTGGGGACCTCTTGAACTCTGTCCGTGACAAAGCCAACCTTCTGTCTTCCCTGTGTGCTGTGTGCCAGGTCAGGGTGCTAAAATTATTTATATTATTTCATGGAATTATTCCAGGTTTTCTGTTCTTAATTCATCGAGGATGGTCTTCCTTCTCAGAAGTGGTAAACTATCCTCGTGAATTTTTACTTCACTTGCAAATGTTTTTAAATTTTTTTTTTCACTTGCAAATGTTGAACGGTCCCAGCCAAAGTCATGGATTTTAATCACTGTCACCTGAGACTTTCTTCCCTCTGGACACTGATCCATTATTCAGCATGTGGGCACAGCTATAGATCTGATCAGTTCCCAACTTTGTTGACTCTGTCCTATTTTACTTTCTCTTGTTCCCAAGGGATTTACTTCAGACTTTTTTTTCCCCCAAATTCTTCTAATAAATTAACCTACCTTGTGGCTTTGGCATTCACTTTAAGTATTATTCTACAAATTTCAACAGTGTGAATTTTTTAACACAATCTAGTGAAATGCGTCTTCTAATTTCCGCCTAAAGTATAATAAACCTTACTAGAAACTTCCACTGATCTTTATAGTTTCTGAATTCCATCTTTAGCTGGGCAAGGTAGTGCACACATGTAATCCAGCACTTGGGAGTCTGAGGGAAGAGGATTGTGAGTTCAAGGCCAACCTGGACTATCTAGCACGGGCTCCTTTTCTGTTCCTTATAACTATGCACATACTGTTGTAACTACAAGTTTGTGACCCAGTCTGTAAGTTTATCAGTATATGGGAAGAAACCTCCGTAAAGTCCACTGTGGTGTTTAAACTTTACTTTGTTTAGTGTTCATCACTATCCACACTCTACTTTTAGAAAACTCAGAGATGTTAGAAGGATCAAGCCAGATCCTCCAGTGCTTTTTGTGCTTATCTCAGCAGCAAGGCTGATTCTTAAATGGAAGGTTAACTACTATGACGTTAAGAATTAAAGAAAAAAAAAACATAGCCCATGGATACCCATATAAATGCACATGGGTGGTCCAGAGGACAGATACTGTCTTGACACCTTCACAGGCAGTGCAGCTTCTCACCTTTCCTTTACACCAATCTGAGATGAGTCACAGCCCTGTTCTGTGGCCTACCACAAGTCTTCCAAAGGCCCCTTGTCACTTAGAGGTGGGAGGCTGCCATGGATGTGTATGAGGGGTCACTATGTTAGGGAGATTAACATAGTGGGACATAAGAGCCCAGTCATCTCACAGTGCCACGATCTATCTCCTTGCCTGTCTCAGATTGAGTTTCCTCCTGACCCGGCCTGTTCTAGGATTTCCAGGAGTTGAGAAATTAACTGAAAGCTAACACTTTCCTCCCTACAATAATGTTAATAGCATCATGTGTCCAAATATTGGGCCAATCTTTCATTTGGCCTAATTTCTCTGAGCCAATTTGAAAATACCTTAGGATCCTTAAAATTTTCCTAAATGCTGACTTTTTCTGGATGCTATGGTTCCTGTCTTAGTTGCTTTTCTCTTGTTGCTGAGGCAAAATACCTGATACCAAGTTAAAGAGGAAACAGTTTATTTAGCACACAGTTTGTAGAGGTTTCAGTCCATAATTGGCAGGCTCCAAGGCAGGGTGGCACATGGGAGAGGAACAACAACAGTTCGTGGTGGCATAAGATGATAAGTAGCAAAGCAACAAGGGATGACGACAGCTCTTTCTGCCCCTTGTATTTTATTCAGACTACTTAGGGTAGCACTCATACCTTTAAACCTAGTGCCCTCAGGCCTAGTATTGCACCACGATTCAATCACACATTCTAGATTCAACCACCTCTGAAAAGGCACCACTTACGACTGCATGAGGCTTTGAGGGGACATCTACACACAAGTCATAACACTAACACTTCCCATATTGCATTTTCTTGTTCATCTGGGCTTTGGCACATAACAAACCAACAAATACTTGTTAAATGAATGGATGACCAGATGGGTCACGTGCCCACCCTATTCTGTGTACGTGTAGGTACAGTTACACATATGGGGTTTTGTTTTTTTTGGTTTTTTTGCAATGCTGGGGATCCAACCTAGGGACTCATGCAGGCTAAGCAATGTTCTACCATTGACCTACGTCCCTATTCCTTTTTCAGATTTTTATTTTGGGATATGCACTCATTAAGTTGTCTAAGCTGGCCTTAAAGTTGTGAGCCTTTTCCTTTTCCACCTGCAACCCCCACCCGTGCGCCACACCGGTTGCACACCCCTCGCTCTGAGCTCCCGGCTCCTACTAAGCTAGGTGCCGGTTCTCCCTTCAGTCATCATTATGATTATCTATTGGGACCTCATCAGCCACCATGAGATGTTCTCTGACATTTACAAGATCTGGGAGATCAAGGGTGGGCTGTGCCTGTAGGTGGAGGGCAAGATGGTCAGTAGAACAGAGGGCAACGCTGATGACTCGCTCATTGGTGGAAACGCCTCTGCTGAAGGCCCAGTAGTCACTGGTGTTAATATTATCATGAACCATCACTTGCAGGAAACCAGCTTCACAAAAGAGCCCTACAAGAAGTACATTAAAGACTATATAAAATCAATCGAAGGCAAACTTGAAGAACAAAGACCAGAAAGAGTAAAACCTTTTATGACAGGAGCTGCAGAACAAATCAAGCACATCCTTGCTAATTTCAAAAACGATCAGTTCTTTATTGGTGCAAACATGAATCCAGATGGTATGGTTGCTCTCCTGGACTCCAGTGAGGATGGTGTGACCCCATTTATGATTTTAAGGATGCTTTAGAAATGGAAAGATGTTAATGGATTTGGCAGTTACCTTGGATCTATCACTTGTCATAACTGGCTGCTGCTTGTCATCTACACAGCACCGGGATTCTAGACAAATGGGACTGATGTCATCTTGAATGCTTCCTTTATTTTGACTGTGATTTATTTGAAGTAGAGGCATTGTTTTTTAGGGAAAGAACCAAAATATGTTACGTAGGTTGTCTAAAAATAAAGTGTATTTAAACTAGAAAAAGAATTGTGATCCTCCTGCCTGTGCCTCGCAAGTAGCTGGGATAGCTGGTGTGTACTGCCACACATAGCAGAACCAGTGATTCCTTGGGGAGCCCTGGTTTCTTAGTAGGGAATACCACAATCCGGGTGCATGGTACATCCACTGCTCCTGGGGCAGAGGTAGGAAATGTGTATTGTTGGAAAGAACAAGGATGAATTTACTTACATTCCCATTTCATATTTTGAATTGCAGGGTTTTTAGTTAACCTTTGATCTTATTCTTGTCTTTCTCAGAAAAATCTGAGTTTAAATATTAAGATAATTGGTTATTAGCTTTAACTTACCTACACATAAGACTAATAACAAGCTGGGTATGGTGGCACAGTCCTATAATCCCAGCACTTGGGAAGCTGAGGTAGGAGGATTGCCAGCCTGGGCTACATAGTGAGTTCAGGGCCAGCCTGAAATACAAAGCAAGACCCTGTCTCAAAAAACCAAAAACTGGGGCTGGGGATTTAGTTCAGTGGTTCTGCCGGCTGCCTTGCAAACGCAAGGTCCCAAGTTCGATCCCTGGTACCAAAAAACCAAAACCAAAACCAAACCAGAACAAAACCCCCCCAAAAAACAAAAGACTATTAACAATGACATTGCTGAATGAAATTTGGGGTTTCTTAATGACTTTTTTGTTCTTTTTTATGATGACTATTTTTCTTTGTAGTTCACTGATTTGTACAAAGTACCATGTGCTAACACCCTGGAATAACCCCTCTGCAACTGTCCCTGGATCAATATGCAGGTGGGCTGGATGCTATTGATGCCCAGGTCCACAGGCTGGCATACTTTGTGCCTAAGGGCATCCTCCAGAGCAGCTGTAGTGCAATGGGGGCAGGTGAGAAGTGCAGAAACCCATGTTCCCGGGCTGCCAAGCTCACAGTGGGAACCAGTTCCCCAGCACATCTGTCCTTCCTTCTGGGCCTCTGACTTCCTACCTCCTTTCAACTGCTGCTCCAATTCCCTTCCAAATTCTTGTCTCTGGTCAGCTTTTTTTTTAGTACTAGGGATCGAACTTGGGACCTTGGGCTTTTGAGGCAGGTGCCTGGCTAAATCGCTGGCCCTGGGTCGCTTCTATAGAGGCCAGTTTAAATCAGTTCAGTTCATTCATTTCAGATTCTAATTTTCAATTTTAGGGATTGTCTAAAAATTTATTTTGGAAATATGCAAAACATTTGTCCAAAGTATTACTTCCTAGTATATTCTGT